CGAGCAAGGGCGCTGGAGCCAGGCTGCCGGGTTTCACTCCCTCCTTGGGACCGCGGTGTGTCCTCGGGTGGCCGAACCTTTGCACGTCCCCACCTCATTCAGTAAAGTGACCCACTTGCTGCCCTGACCTGACAGCCATCTGGGGCTTGGTGATGCTTTGCATTTTTTTGTTTCGTTTCGCTGCATGTAAGTTCCTGTACCAGTGAGCTGGCCTGTGGCTGGCAGCCTCTTCCGAAAACGAGGGCAGTCATTGTTTCACCCAAACTCTGTTCAGCCACGGGCCGCCCCCAGCAAAGGCCCACAGGAATTCGGAGCCATTTGTAGCCCCTGGAGGTTGGTTCAACCATCGTTTCTTCCTAGAAGAGCATGAAGCCCGTGTGGGTGCTGAGCCGCCCATTAGACTAAAAACTGCCGGATAACCTTGTGGTTCTCTAGATGGGGCCCACGTGCCAGAGGGGACCGCCCATCTTGGCCTGGGTGCTGGAGGAGGCCATTTGCCTTAACAGAGGCTGGTGGCCTGGACGGAAGCTGGTGCCTAGGGTAAGAGGTTGGCAGGATCAAAAGCAGAGGGCTGGGGGGGGGTTCCTGCAGCCACTCCAATTTGTTCCCACCGCGGGCCTGGGAGGGAGAGAGTGCCGCTTAACTGGCACCTCCAGCTGTTTCGTTTTTCACCACAGCACCCTGCCTCAGGACAGGGAGGCTAAACTGTCTCATTGCCAGACTTGGTCTCAGGTGCCGCAGGGCAGAAGGCAGCGGGGTGCCATCTCAGGGTGCTGGGAGGCCTCAGCCATGGCCACCTCAGCAAGCCCTGCAGGGCCCAGTCTTTCTGCAATAGGTTCAGGGCGCAGTTCCGGCCAACCCTCACCCAGGGGCGCGTCCTGGCCCCACCCCACCACACCTCACTTGCCCGAGCTGGGACAGAAGGCTGCCCAGCGCTCCTCTGGCCACGTGGCCAGGGTGTAGTCGGGCGGGGCAGGCGAACAGGGCACTGCCCTAGCTCCTTGAGGAGGGGGCCTCTTGGCTGTTCCAGGCGGGACCCCAGCCGCACCCCCGCCCCAAGGGCAAGGACCACCCCTGTTCTGTGGGCAGCTGAGGCAGCAGAGGCCTCTGGGCACCAAGGACCCCAAGAGGCTGGGCTCTGAGCATCCAGCTGGAATCGGGCTGGATGCAGCCCGGGGAAGAGTACGTTATACAACGGGCCACCCGACCCCTCTGCCCAGGTAGGAGACTTCCGGACACTGGGACATTCTGCGGTCCTCTCGAGACAGGGCCACAGGGTGATTGAAAGGGGCCCAGGAAGGCCCTGGGGTTCCCTCCTGTAATGGTCTGGGTTTACCTGCCACCTCAGATTTCAGGCCATCTAGGTTACTGAAATCAAAGTAAGATAAACGGTGGTAAGGGGGCCACCGGCATGGTGATCATGTGATTCAGAACAGCTGAGATGGATTGTTTGGGGGTCGAGGGGTGGGTGGAAGGGTGGAGTTCTTGGGTCTTTTCTCTGCTGAACTGAACAGAGCTGCCCTCTCCCTGAAAGCTGCCAGTGCCCCCATGGCCAGGGTGGGGGAGTGTGCGCCCCGCCTTGACCCTCCCTCTGCTCAGGCCCCGTGTCCGCCCTCTGTCTCAAGGTTCTACAGGAAGGGTGGACAGTAGGAGCCCCTGCGACCAAGGTCAGAGGGTCGGGCAGACAGGTAGGAGGGTCCTCCCATGGAGGCCTGGGAAGGGACAGGTGGGAGTATGGGGGAACAGGATGCCCCAAAATCCTGCCCTGTGGGCCACACAGCTGAAGGGGTGTCAGGTGATGGGAACAGGACAGGGGCGTCCCGATGAGGGGTCAGGGAGGACAGTGGCTTCCAAGAGGAGGCTGGTCCTGGCCTGGCCTGGAAGGACAGGGATGGCGCGGGGAGAGGGACATGAACCGAGGGTGAGTGTGGAGTCAGCCCCCAGCTGGGTGCATGGGGACAGGGCAGGGGTCAGAGGAGACACACAGGGATAGGGTAGGAGGCAGGGAGGGGACAGGTGGCGACAGGGCAAGGGGAGAGTGAGAGGACATGTGAGGACAGGCGAGGGGTCCCCAGGAGGCTGTGCTTCTGGCTGGGAAGCTGTGGATGGTGAGATCCGGGGCCTGGGGGAAGTGCGGAGGGAAGGCCAGCAGTCCCTCCGGGCCCGGGACTCCGGCCTGGAGCGAAGGGCTCTGGGTGCGGGAGGCTGTGAAGCCGTAGTCCCTCCTCCACCAGAGGTGAAAACAGAAAGTAACCCCGGGAGAAAACCACTAGGCTGAGAAGTCAGTGGGGCGTGCCTGCACTCTAGAGAGACCCACCCGACTCTGTGGGTCCCGGGGCCCTGCTAGTGGGGGCCAGCAGCCGGGCAGGGAGGATCGTCAGGCTGCACGCCCCAGGACTTTCTGAGTTATAAATATCTGGGGGAAATTCCTTGAGGTGAAGTGGGTTGGAAGCCCCAGCTACAGGGCCTGGGGGACAGGCTGGGTAGAATCCGCGATGCGATGATTCCATGACTGTCCAGACCCCCACAAATGCTGCGCCTGATACTTCTGACACCCACACATGTCCCACAGTCATTCCCCTTATTCGCGGGGGACCCCCCCCAGACCCCCCGTGGATGTGTGAACCATGGATGGTACCGGACACTGTAATATACTTGCTTTTTCCGGTACCTACACACCTATGACGGAGTTTAATTTATAAACTAGTCAGAGATTAACAACAAGGACTAGTGATAAAATCGAGCAGTGATAACAGCCTGCTGGCATAGACTCATGCGCCTGTGGTCAGTGCTCAGGGGTCCCTTGCTGAAGTCCTCACAGAGGCTCCACGCTTTCCGGAAGCACGCTGTCGTCACTCGCAACACGTTTCCCGTCCGCCTCCCACCACCAGTTCAAGGCCTGTCCCCTCCTAACTAGCACTCGCCACGCTCTGTGGCTGGAACCTTTGTGGCCTGAGGGGCGACAGCAAAACTGGCACAGATTTCTTCACCGTTTCACAGATAGAAGAGTCGTCCTCACCATAGATCTCGGCAACCTCCGCACACGGTACTTTTCTTTCCTCGTTAAGTCGAGAGCTTTCACTTCTTTACTTACAGGAAGCACTTCACGGCTTCTCTGTCATGCCCGACTACCAGCACCCCACTCCTGCGCTTTGGGGCCTTTACTAAGGAAGATAAGGGTGACTTGGGCGCAGCACTGGGGTCGCATGACAGTCCATCTGATAACCCAGAGGGCGACTAAGTGACTAATGGGTGGGGAGCGTGTACTGCGTGGAGATGCTGGACAAAGGGACGATTAATGTCCTGGGCGAGATATTAACGTCCTGGGCGAGATAAAGCGAGAAGGTGCGAGATAGATAAAGCGAGAAGGTGCGAGATTTCATCACGCTACTCAGGAAGGCATGAAATTTAAAACTTGTGAATTATTTATTTCTGTAATTCTCCATTTAATATTTTTGGACCATGGTTGACCGTGGATAACTGAAAGCCTAGAAAGTAAAACCGTAAATAAGGGGGGGGGCACTGTACTGTCCCTTCCCCCTTCCCCAGAGGAGAGAGGATCGGGGTGCCCAGGGCAGCCTGGGGGTTCTCGGTGAGGAGCTTGAGTCTCTGCACCTCCGATCTTTGACCAAGCAGCAGCGTTTCCTCTTTTCTACTCTCCGAGCTCCTGCCGGGGTGGCACGTGGTCCCTGTTGCCTACAGAGACCTGGTCTGTGGCTCCGTCCGCCACTCGTGTTCTTGGGGGGACCTGGGTCTAGTACAACCAGCTCTTCAGAGTTTTGCAGGGAAGCTGGAAATCATAGCCCCGTGAGGCTTCCTGGTTCAAGTCCCATGGTCTAAGTAAGATGGCCAGGTGTCCAGACCCTTGCTGTTCCGATAAAGAATAGGAGTGCAAGTCCCCAGGGGAGGCTGGGAGACAGCTGAAGCCGGGGGCCTGCTGCTGAGGTCTTGGGGAGATGGGTCTGGGGTGGGTTTGGGGGTCCCATGTCCTGACACAGAGGAAGTCCCTGCTTGGCCCAGCACAGCTCTGCCCTCTGTGGTGCCGGAACTGCTTCTGGTGCCCACGGCCAGCGGTGCTTGTGTGGCCAGGTACGGCAGCCAGGACACAGAAGGCAGGATACTCAGACAAGAAAGGACACCTTTCCTTTTTTTTTTTTTTNGGTCACCCCCACAGTTCCCAGGGAGCTGAGATGTGTCCACTCAGCTTTGAATGGGCAGTGGGGGCCCCTTGCTGAGCCGCCTGTCCTCCCTCGTGCAGCTTCACGCCAGGCGCACGTGTACTGCACATGGACACAGGCTCTGCACAGACGTGTCTGCATCCTGCACCGCACCCCTGGGGGTCAGGAGCCTGGGAGCCCACCGCTGTCACCCAACACTTTCGCCAGGAGCAGCCACTGAGTGAGAGACACTTCCCTCAGGTGAGGTGAGGCACAGCTGCTGGCCTCGCCTGGCTGCCCCAGCGGGTGGAGGTGAGAGCACCAGGCTTCCTGCTAGAGCCCCTTGGGAGTGTGAGTATGGGTGGGTGTGTGTGTGTGCTGATAGGAAAAACAGGTGAATAGCAACAATTTCCTGGTTGGACCCAGTATTGAAAAAGGCGGGTCCTTGCTTGTGAGCACCCCTGCCGCCATGTGACAGGTGAAATGATACAGAATGTGCTGACTCAGGGACAGACTGAAGTTCTCCGTCCGGGGACAGATTCATTGCACCCTTCTCTGTACTTCTCTGTGTTAGGACATTTCTACAGTGAGAAGCAGCAAAGAATCATGCAAACGCAGGGTGGGGGAGGGGCGGAAGGGACAGCAGCCCCAGTCCCAGCTCCTCCAGCCACAGGCAGGGGCGTCCCCACGCGGAAGGCATGGCATCTGGAGCACTGAGTACGGGCTGGCCACTCGCCTCAGGGCTCTCGGCCAGGCTCCGCCCCACCCTGGCCTGCCCCGAGGCTCCAGGCCGGCCTCACCGCTCCAATGTCATCACCTAGGCGACCAGGACGCTGCTGCCACCGCCTGCCTACTGAGCCACAAGCCAGCCGGCCTCCTGGCCACCTCCCCTCGACATCGACCCTCCGGGCCCGGGCTTGGCCAAGGTAGGCTGGGGCTCGGCCTGGCCCTCCTCTTCCAGGCTTGAGCTTGGGGTCCTGTTGCCGCCCCCCCTGCACAGCGGCTTCTCGGGGCCACTCAGGGTGCAGAGCCCCCTCTGCGCTGCCTCCCACCTGGTGCCCAGAATGGGGTGCCCTGGGGCAGGGGTGGCAGACAGGCAGGTTGGTGGCCAGGCCAGTGCAGGGAGGCTGTGCCAGTGATTCCCCCGACAGGACTTGGGTGAGGACGGGCCACTGCTTCATGGCACTCTGTATGGCCCCCGGCTGGGGAGAGACTGGGCAGAGACTGAGACGGCTCTGATAGCATCACCTCCCTCCTTGGACTGCCAGGAACTCTCTCCACTTCCTGCCCAGGAGGCATGGAGTAGCACCCAGGCCTGCAGCGCCAGGCGCTTGCCCAGCTGGGGGCCCCCCATTCCTTAGCCTCCTGGGGCCAACCCAGAACCAGCTTTCCCAGCTCCCCTCACCCGCACCAAGCCCCAGAGGCTGCCCTGGTCTCCCTGGCTTCACCTGGTCACCCGCAAGGCGACCCCAAGTCCTGGGCAGAAGGAGTCACCTGCCCACCTGCCACCACTGTCCCGCTTACATGGCTGGACCCCCGAGGCCAGAGGTCCTCAGGGTCCCATCACACTTGAAGGAAGGGGCTGGCGCGGGGATTCTCTTTGAGGAAGGCAGAGTGTGCGTGTGCACGTGCGCGTGTGCGCCAGGTGAGTGTGCGTGTGTGTGCGTGCTTGTGTGTGTGATGGCGGTGAGAGGGTGGGTGGGGGAGCTGAGCAGCTGCCTCGTGTTCCTGCCAGTCTGAGCGGAATGGAGGCCGAGGGACCGAGG